CTCAAAAAAAAAAAAAAAAAGAAAGAAAGAAAAGAAAGAAAGAAAGAAGGGAGGGAGGGAGGGAGGGAAGAAGGAAGGAAAGAAAGAAAAGAAATGTTTAGCCTTTCTGAGAGTGCCACGTCCTAACCATCAGACCACCAGGGAAGGTAGGTTCAGCCTTTCTGAGAAGGTGATATTTGAGCATAGACTTGGGTGCGGTAATACGGTTAGTCCTGGGGATCCGTTGGCCATGGATTATCTAAGGGAAAACGTGCAAGGCAGAGGAGGCAGCCAGTGCATAGGTCCTGTGGACTAGTATGGCTGACATGATGCAAGAGCAGGGAGAAGACCAGTGCGGCCAGAGTGAGGGGAGAGGAGTAGGAAATGAGGTGATGTCATAAGGAAATGGGGGTCAGATATTATAGGCCCTTGCCAAGACTTGGTCCTAGATTACTCTGGGTGAAATGAGGAACTGTTTCAGGTTTTCAAGCAGAGAAGGGACCTGATGAAACCTAAATATTTAAAATACCTCTCTGGCTGATCTGTTCTGTACTTAGATTCTTGAGGGGCAAAGGGGGAAACAGTTGGGAAGCTACTGCAGTAACTGAGGCATGGATTTTGGTGGCTGTGGCCAGGATGACAGCAGTAAAGGTGTGGAGAGTGGCTGGATTCTGAGGACTTTTCAAGGTAGAACCAACAGTGTCTGCTGATGGATTGCCTTTGGGATGTGAGAGAGTCAAGGGTGGCTCCAAGATTTCTGGCCTGGGCCGGGCTTGGTGTCTCATCCCAGCACTTTGAAAGGCCGAGACGGGCGGATCACCTAAGGTCAAGAGTTCGAAACGAGCCTGGCCAACATGGTGAAGCTCCATGTCTACTAAAAATACAAAACATTAGCTTGGCACGGTGACACACACCTGTAGTCTCATCCATTCGGGAGGCTGAGGCAGGAGAATAATTTGAACCTGGGAAGCGGAGGTTCCACTGAGCTGAGATTGCGCCACTGCACTCCATCCTGGGTGACAGAGTAAAATTCCAGCTCAAAAAAAAAACAGATTTCTGGCTTGAGTTACTAGAACAGTGGAGTTGCCAGGAACTGAGATGGATGAAGCTGCAGATAGAGCAGATGGAGGGCAAGCTTAGGAATTCAGTATGGGGCATTGTGTTTGAACATCCGAGTGGGGACAGTCAGGCAGCTGGGCTTGTGAATGGGGGTCAGGAGAGCAGTCCAGGCTGGAGAAAAATATCTGTGGGTTATCAGCATATAGAGGGTATGAAACGCCACAGAACCACAAGATACCATCTAGGGAGCGAGTAGAAGAGAAAGGACCACTGGCCATTTCAACATTGAAAGGTTGGGAAGAAGAGGAAGACCCGCATAGGAGAGTAAGATAAGAGAAAATCCAAAGAGGAGGTGAAAGCCAGCTGAGGAAAATGTTCTAAGGAGTGTGGGGAGTGATACGGTTTGGATGTTGTCTCCACCCAAATCTCATGTTAAAATGTCATCCCCGATGTCGGAGGTGGGGTCTGGTGGGAGGCGATTGGATCATGGGGGCAGATTTCTCATGAATGGTTTAGCACCATCCTCCTTTGTACTGCCCTCACCATAGTGATTACAAGTGTGATCTTCCTGTGAGATCTGTTATTTATTTATTTATTTATTTACATTGTACTTTAGGTTCTGGGGTACATGTGCAGATCATGCATGACCGTTGCATAGGTACACACATGGCAATGTGGTTTGCTGCCTCCATCTCCCCGTCACCTACATCTGGCATTTCTCTCCATGTTATCCCTCCCCGACCTCCCCACCCCTCCGCTGTCCCAGAATCTCTGGGACACATTTAAAGCAGTATCTAGAGGGAAATTTATAGCAGTAAATGCCCACCAGAGAAGTGAAGAAAGATCTAAAATTGGCACCCTATCGTCAAAATTGAAAGAGCTTAGAGGAGCAAGATCAGAAAAACTCAAAAGCTAGCAGAAGACAAGAAGTAACTAAGATCAGAGCAGAACTGAAGGAGATAGGGACACAAAAAACCCTTCAAAAAAATAAATAAATCCAGGAGCTGGTTTTTTGAAAAGATCAGCAAAATAGACAGACCGCTAGCCAGATTAATAAAAAAGAAAATGGAGAAGAATCAAATAGATGCAATAAAAAACGATAAACGGAGTATCACCACCGACTCCACAGAAATACAAACTACTGTCAGAGATTACTACAAACAGCTCTATGTACATAAACCAGTAAACCTGGACGAAATGAGTAAATTCCTGGACACTTGCACCTTCCCAAGCCTAAACCAGGAAGAAGCTGAAACCTTGGAGAGATCTGGTTTTTAAAAGTGTGTAGCACAACTCCCCTCCCCCCCACTCCCTTGTTCCTGCTTTTGCCCTGTGACATGCCTGCTCCTGCTTCACCTTCCACTGTAAGTAAAAGCTCCTCCCCAAGGCCTCCCCAGCAGCCAAGTGACATTGGAGCCATGCTTATACAGCATGCAGAACTGTGAGCCAGTTAAACCTATTTTATAAATTCCCCAGTCTCAGGTATTTTTTTTTTTTTTGAGATGGGGTCTCGCTCTGTTGCCCAGGCTGGACTGGAGTGCAGTGGCGCTATCTCGGCTCACTACAGCCTCTGCCTCCCGGGTTCAAGCAACTCTCCTGCCTCAGCCTCCCAAGTAGCTGGGATTACAGGCACCTGCCACCACACCCAGCTAATTTTTTTGTATTATTAGTAGAGATGTGGTTTCATCATGTTGACCAGGCTGGTCTTGAACCCCTGACCTTATGTGATCTGCCTGCCTCAGTCTTCCAAAGTGCTGGGATTACAAGTGTGAGCCACTGCGCCCAGCCTAGGTATTTCTTTATAGTAGTGCAAGAACAGGCTAATACAGGGAGTGATCAGTTGTGTCAGATTATACTGATAGTTCTTACAAAATGGGACTGACCATTGGATTTGGTAGTCTGTACATCCCCTTCACATGACTTACAGTGTTAGTAATTATTAATTTATAATTATGGTTGTTTCCTGTGTTTTTTTTGTTAAAATGAAAACTTCTTGAGCATAGGGTCAGTGTCTGCTTTGTTCGTTTTATTATAGTCATTGTAGATATTCAGTAACTATTTGATGAACGAGTAAATGAGTGAATGAATGTGCAATATGTTTACCTTCTGCCTAGCTCCAAAATATATTCTGGACAAAGCTTATATAATATGGAGAGTGTTATATATTGGAATATAGAGGGTACTATCAGGATCAGCAGGAGAAATCAGCTTATTGCTGAGATCTTTGCTTTAGCCTGGAGACACTCATTTTAGAAGGTTTACTAGACATCTTGGAGCCAGTCATTTGGTCCGTTATTTGGTCTTAGACTTGATGACACACTAAATCCAGTTTACAGTCATGTTCCTTGTGGTGCATTGTATGATGAACGATGTACTGGGTTTTTGTTTTGTTTTGTTTTGTTTTGAGACAAAATCTCGCTCTGTCACCCAGGCTGGAATGCAGTGGCACCATCTCAGCTGGCTGCAACCTCTGCCTCCTTGGTTCAAGCGATTATCCTGCCTCAGCTTCCCAAGTAGCTGGGACTACAGGCACACACCACCATGCCCGGCTAATTTTTGTATTTTTTTAGTGCAAATGGGGGTTTCATGACATTGGCCAGGGTGGTCTGGAATTCCTGACCTCAAGTGATCCACCCGCCTCGGCCTCCCAAAATGCTGGGATTACAGGTGTGAGCCACCATGGTTGACCTATAGGGTGCTTTTGAGACATAGTAACTCAGGAGAAAGGGTCAGAGAAGTAGATTTTCAAAAGCAGGTAAACAGTTGAAGTGAGATCTCAAGGGGATGTTGGAATTTTTCAAAAGGGAGAACTGGGAAGGACATTTCTCAGCAGAGGGAGCGACACATGCAAAGTTTGCAGTATGGGAAAATACTGTCTGTGTTGGGGAACTAAAGGAATTGGTGGTGTATGTATGATAGGGTGTGGGCTTGTTATTTCCCACTGAACTTGAGCAACTCAAGTTATACAGGTTGACTGGAATGTTGGGTGGATGTGAGGGTGTGGGGAAGATGGATGAGATGGATGATCCATCTGCCAAGTTTAGGAGCTTGAATTTTAACCTACATTCAGTGGAGAGCCACTGAAGAATCTTAAAAGCAGAGGATCAAGGCCGGGTGCAGTGGCTCACGCCTGTAGTCCCAGCACTTTGGGAGGCCGAGGTGGGCGGATCACAAGGTCAGGAGTTCAAGACCAGCCTGACCAACATGGTGAAACCGTGCCTCTACTAAAAAATACAAAAATTAGCCAGGCATGGTTGTGCGTGCCTGCTACTCAGAAGGCTGAGGCAGGAGAATCGCTTGAACCCAGGAGGCGGAGGTTGCAGTGAGCAGAGATATTGCCACTGTACCCCATCTAGGTGACAGAGTGAGACTCTGTCTCAAAAGAAAAAAAAGGAATCAAATATTTATTTCTGTGATTGTTTTATTTCTGTCCCCCTTCACTAGACAATAAATTTCATAAATGCAAAAAGAAAGCAGAGGATTAATAATAAACTGGGAAAAATAGGAGCAGTGAAGTAATATGGTTGTTGATGAGGTTTAGGGAGTTTAATCTGGCATCTGAATATGGGATGGCTTATAAGATTGCAGAGAGAAGAGGCAGGAAAGCTAGCTAGAATATTACATGATTCATGAGTGAGGCGATGCAAATGGAGAAGTGAAACTGGGCTTGAGAGGGTGTCCAGGCTCTTGGCTGTTGGAGAGGCCTCTATTTAAAAGAAAACACTCATCTCCTCATCTTAGATGACTCTTTATGTCAGCTGGAACCAGAAGTAATCTCCCAGCATTATTGCCTTTCAAAGAAAAGGAGATTTATGGTCATTGACAGAGTGGCTGCAGTGTAGCATATATTATCCACAATCAGAGCAGTGTCCTTGCTTATTTTCTTTCCCAGAAATCATCAGTGAATTTCATTTGATTGATCCTACTGTTAACCTGCTTTTATGGTTATCAGTTTTTCTAACCTGTTGGGTTAGCTTGTTGGCATTGCAAAATCTTTGTTGAGAAATACTCATTGGCCCACTTCTTGATTTTGAGTGTCTTCTTGATTTTGATTTTGAGTTGTGCCTTCTTTGTATCTTTCTTAGAAAGATTGTTAAAGTAATGATAGGTTGGAGGAACATTTCTTATTCTATAGACACTCACACATACACACAGCATGTGTATACTTATACATATTTTTATTAGACTTCTAATTTAGAGTTTTTAAGGATTCTTATACAATTCATGTCGTTTACATGGAGACTAGGAGTGTACATGTATGCATATAGTCTCAAAATAGATTATGCTCAATTATGTACAGAAAAATTCTGCAGTTTTCAGGGGTGAGATGATAACTGAACTCCAAGAACTTTGGTTAACAAGGTATGACCCGTTTAGTTGCATCATGGATGAGAGCCTGGCTCTGAAGTCAGGCTGCTGGGTGCTTGAATTTTAGCTTCTGTGACCTTGGCCAAGTTACTTAACTTCCCTGTGCTTGAGTGCTCCTATCTGTAAAATGGAAATAACAACAGGACCTATCTGAGGGTTCTAAGAGTTAATTAAGATGATGTATGTAAAATATATAACAGCATGCCTAGCACAGGGTATACTTAATGAATGGCAGGTGCTATTCTTTATTTTATTTATTTTTAATTTTTGTTTTTTTAGACAAACAAATGGAGTCTCACTCTGTCACCCAGACAGGGAATGCAGTGGCTCACTGCAGATAGCTCGCTGCAGCCTCAAATACCTAGAGTCAAGCCATCTTCCTGCCTCAGCCTCCAGAATATCTGGGATTATAGGCTCTAGCCACCACACCCAGCTGCTATATATTTTTTTATTAATGAAGGATCAGCTCAAGAGTGAGACCAGAGCTTTTGCTCTTGATCTGTTGGTTAAGGAAAAAAATTATTTCTCAGGCTGGGTATGGTGGCTCACACCTGTAATAGCACTTTGGGAGGCCAAGGCAGGAGGATGGCTTGAGCCCACGAGTTAGAGACCAGCCTGGGAAACATAGCGACACCTCATTTCTGCAAATAATCATAATAATAAGCTGGATGTGGTGGGAGGCTGAGGTAGGAGGATCATTTGAAAGCCCAGGAAATCAAGGCTGCAGAGAGCCATGATCTCACCACTGCTTTCAACCTGGGTGACAGAGTGAGACTCTATCTTAAAAAAAAAAAAAAAAAAAAAAAATTATTCCTCGTAAATGATTTTTTAGTTATGAAATAGACAAGTGTCTTCTAACTCAATGCTTTCAAGGAATTCCCTAAATTAATTGAACATTTAAAAAAATAAGGATGTAAGTTCCATGAAGGTAATGCTTTATGTCTATTTTGTCAACTCCTGTGTCGTTAATATCTAGAATAGCACCTGACTTATAGTAAGTGCTCAATAACTATGTTGAATGAATGAAAAGGGGCCAATGGCTCTTGAAAGATATAGACATTTCATCTTATAGACCAAAGTATGTAAGTTATTCTGGTATGTAATAATTTAAAATTGTATTTTAACAATATATGGAAAGAGGTTTTATCTAAAGTACTAGAAACTCTCAAACCTAAAGTATGTTTACATACATTGACTTTCTGTGAACCTATGAATTATGTTGGAAAATAAATAAATAGGTTTTTCCTGTTTGATGTAAACTAGGATGTATGTAAGCAAATTGAGATGTTACTGTTGACAATGTGTAATTAATAATGTACTGTTAATTGTAGAGTTTCAAGTTACTTCATATAAGAGACATAATTTTAAAAGTATACCTAACAGAAAAAATTATATAATTAATGAAGCAATTTTTCCTTTTACTTCTCTTTATTTCCTTTTTTTTTTTTTTCCTGAGACAGAGCCTTGCTCTGTCACCCAGGCTAGATTACAGTGGAGTGATTTCAGCTCATTGCAAACTCCGCCTACCAGGTTCAAATGATTCTTCTGCCTCTGCCTCCCAGGTAACTGGGACTACAGGCGCTTGCCACCATGACTGGCTAATTTCTGTATTTTTAGTAGAGATGGGGTTTCACCATGTTGACCAGGCCAGTCTAGAACTCCTGACCTCATGTGATCCACCCACCTTGGCCTCCCACAGTGCTGGGATTACAGGCATGAGCCACTGTACCCGGCTGTTTTCTAATATTTTCTACAAAGCAGTATTGTCTGAATCTAAAAAGGACCCCCAGAAATCCAGCCAATATATATTGAGTGTTTTTCAAGGAATCTATTTTTACTGACTAGGTTAAACAATTTATACCATTTTTGTTTATTCTGAGATGCCCATGTTTCATATTTGTACATCTTGGATACCTGTCTGTATCATACAATGAATGATATGTCATAGTTTAATTGGCAGCTTTTTAGTTGCCTTAGTGGTCCCTAAAGTAATGGTGCACTTTATAATCAGTGGGATCGTTGGTTCAGTGGATACCCGCACAAGTGTGTGCATGTGTTTGGTGGTGGTTGACAAGTGTCAAAGAGGCAAAACAAGCACTCTTCCCAGAGAAGGAGTCACCACAGGCAGTGCTGATGTTTTCAGCTTCATATACACTCCATTATTTAAAGGAAATCTTTACCCTTAAGACTGTTGGTATTGACTGTTTTCAGGCAGTAATCAGTTAGCTGCTATCAGGAGAATCAATTGGAAGCTATTAGAGGTCTCTTCAGTTATTCCTTTAAAAAGCATGCAAATTCTTGAGCATTCTAAATCAGAAAGTTCATTGAATTTTACTTTGCATCTTAAGGTTGAGTCTGTAGTATAAGGCAGTGTTGCATAGGAACATGTGTTCTGTACCCAGTTTTCTCTGTAGAACATTAGGCAAACCTCTTAAGCACTGTGGACCTTGTTTTCATCAACTGAGAAATGAGGGGATTCGCCTTGATAATTGTGAAGGGTGGTGCTTGCTTGTTACTTTCATAGTTTTATTATTTGATTTGGAGTTACGAGCGTCTGTCTCTGTGTGTGTGTGTGTTTTCTCTCCAGCCATTCACACTGCTGCTATGGATATGCTGGGGGGATCTGGTATCGAAAGCCAGTGTAGAAAAGTTGATATCATTGCAGATGCAGCATATGCCATCTTCAAAAAGCCAAAAAATTTTACCGGCAACTTTGTCATTGATGAAAATATCTTAAAAGAAGAAGGAATAAAAAATTTTGATGCCTATGCAATTAAACCAGGTAATGCTATTCTGGTTTTTAAAAGTAGTGATACGGTTTTCCATGTTTTCTGGAATGAACGCATCTGTTTTTTTGTGTGTGTTTTTGTGATTATAAAATGAATATGTTCTTTTAAAAGCTGTCTTTCCAATGAAGGAAAAAATCCATACCAACACAACTTAAAAAAAGAAATGAATGAAACATAGAGGTGAGTTGAGGGCTTTTGAAGTGATATATAAGCACAGAAAGATCAGCTACTAGCTACTTCTAAATCTCAAAATAAGAAATGAAAATTATTTTTTAAAGTTGGCCTTAAAATCACAGAATCCCAAAACCTAAAATGCAATAAAATAAATAAATGGGAAAA